TGGCTTTTTGTGTTTTTTCCTTTGCTAGCAAAGCATCGTAGTTTTTCAGCTTTTTCAGGATGTCCCAGTTTCTAGTCATTTCGTCATTTAGCCTCTAAAAGTCAAATATTTCATKTTTATATATAATTTTTTTGATAAAAGTCCTTTTGAATTCCCATTTTTGAAATAAATGGGATGAGCTGTAATAGGGGGCTGTCTGTGAGTGGTAAMATCCAAGACTAACAATTATATGCATGAAGAATTGGCTATTTTGATTCATCAAGCTTACTATATGTACTAAGTTGTGATTTTCAACCACCTTAGAAGAGGTTGCTCTTATCATCAAATATTATCCATAAACACTGGAAAAAATCGCGCGCTTTAAAGGTTGTAAATTTGATGTAAATATGATAARTKTCCAAAATTCTGCAAATTTAATGGAAATCATTTACATCAAATTTACAGAATTTTGGACACTTACATCATATTTATATCAAATTTACAACCTTTAAAGCKCGCGATTTTTTCCAGTGAAAAGTCGAAACTTTTAAAATCATTTACTGAATTCATATCCACAAAAGCAAGTGCTTTAGTTTCCAGATCACCACGCCCTTCATCTTTGTATCTCTGCTCAATTAGTTTGTATGCCTCTACGAGTTCATTAAAATCCATCTGAGATCCATCAGGGCCTACAAGGCGACTAAGAACTGGATCCAATATTGTTTTCTCAAGCTCTTTGATTAATGCTTTGCAGCTCTCTTCAGTTCTTTGTTTGTTTGTTTGAAGCCATTTAAGCAATAGGATATCTGTCTTCCCCTTGAGGATAAAATATGAACGCCGTCAATATCAAGTATTTAGGCTGATCTGAGGTGGTACCGATAATCTCTAAATTAGCTGGTTGCAGAATCTTAATAAACTTAAATCAAAAAGACCTCCCTAGACCTAAACCATCACATGGTCTGAATTGAGCGACCTCTAAATCGCCTTTCCCTCACAGTGACCAATAACTTACTGTCAATTCCTGCAAATGGGGCGCCACACTATCAATAGAGAAGAAACGTGTCTCTTTTTTAAACGTTTCGAGACATTTTTCCATGGTTTCTTCATGCGCAGATCTTAGCTCATCGGCTTCGCAAGGCATCATATTCTCCACGAATGACGTCATTTCCTGTTGGTATGTCCTCAAAGCATCTTCCAATACTGCACCACATTTGGTATTGGCAAATTTATCCCAGGACTCTTCTACGTTGGGTACAGCGTCCGGAGTGTTGAGAGCGTCTACATAAAGCTGGACTAGTGCTGCTAGTCCTGTGAAAATGTGCAAATAATTTTTATAGTGTTTTCTAAAATATTTAGGATACTACGCGCGCTGTGATTGGTCGAAAACCATGTTTGATTACAGTTTCTAAAATATTTAGGATACTACGCGCGCTGTGATTGGTCGAAAACCATGTTTGATTACAGTATCAAAACACGCTCGCGCACGTCAAAAATTTCTTGTTTTCTTTTAATTCTAGAAAAGAAATAAAAGACGAAATTCCGTGTTTGATACTCTGATCAAAACACTTGGGATGTAGGGAGAGCACTCCAAAAGCTACGCGTCGTGGTTTCCTACGCTTCTCTCGTGCTCTCCCTACATCCCGCGTGTTTTGATCAGAGTATCAAACACGGAATTTCGTCTTTTATTCCTTAAGTATAGCTCATTTGTCATGATCTACTTCAGATATTGAATAATTCCACCCAACAATAAGCAGTGTGTTATGAGTTTTATCAAAAACGTTATTCTTTGTCAAAGCGGCCATCTTGGAGGAACTTCAACAAGGATTTCTCATTAGTATCTATTGTTCATTCCTCCATGGCCGCCTTTTATCTTTTGAATCTCATACGATCAATTCATCGTTTGTTTGTTTTATATTCAAAGCACGATTTACCTTCACCAGTCACAAACTCTCCTTTTTTGATGGCCTTTTTGGGTGACAGTTTGGTATGTATGAAAGCTCTGAAAAGCTCGAATTGTTTATGGAATTCTGGATTGACTTCACTCTTTCTGCCATCCAA